CGGCGGGGGAGTTTTCTAATTTGAATGTTTGATGTCGGATCGCCTTTTGTTTCCCGCCTGGGCCACGGCGGCAGCGAGAAGAAATAAGAGCAGTTACATCTCCTGTTCCCCTCCTTTCCCACCGCAGCCTACCACCCCCTCTCCAACCCGTGGCTTTCCTTTCTACCTTATCCATTGTTTCCCACCTGATAGTCTCTGCTACCATTTCTGACCTCCTCCCACTACTTCGCTAGCGATGGAACGAACCGCGTCGCGAGACATTCGCTAACCTTCGAGGCAATTACGATACACGCTTGCGGGTTAATTGGTGGTCCAAGATTAGCGAAGACAGTGAAGAAACGTCTCGTGAAAATGGCGATGTTTATTTATAAGGTACACTGATACGTTGCGTGTTATATAAAACATTTTAACATTTAGTGGCGCTATGACGAGGCAAGAGTCTTGATTGTATTGATAAAATTTCAAACCAATTTGATAACGCGAGAGATATTTACCGCAAGTGTACATTTAGTAAAAAATTATTTAGAAATTCTCCCGTTGAATATTTAGGCTTGTAATGACAAGGATAATTAACACTATGATTTTCGTGATATATGTACTTGTACTAAATGTTTTGTAGTTCATGCGTATATTTTCAAGTTTGTCAACTTCAAACTTCATCGACGTAATCACGATAGTTGACTATTCGTGTCTCGTTTCATAATATATTCATAAAGGGTGCCTGTAAGTATTCGAATAATTTCGCGAACAATTGTACGCATTGGAAACCTTCTTCGTTGCTGTAGCTTTGGATTTTAATTGAACGGAGGATATAGTTTCACTATATACTCTGTCCCGTCACTATCATTGGTTCTTTTACCACCACTCGACACCACCTTTCTCTCCCTTCCCTCGTGGTTTCTTAGCCGCATCTAGATTTCATTTTAGCCCCTTCCAGGCTCCGTGAGAGCTACAGGGAGCCAGTTCAACCAAAGGAGAACATTGAACGAAAATTACGACATGCCGATAGTCTGGTTCCTCGCAGCGGTTTCTACTTTCGTATCTGCTTTTGCTTCTTAAGAACCGCCAGTGATCCCGAATTTCCCTGAATTTCTCGTTTAATGGATTCTCAGGGCGACGTGCATTTTTATCTTCGCGCCACGGGCCACGATAAAGCCAATTAACTTCGTGTAAATGCTAATACGGTACAACGGTCGGGGCCATTGTAACTGGATACTGTAACCACGGTCATTATGAACGCTTCTTAAAACGTCGTAAAGGTTACTTTGCGACCTCTATCTTGTCCCACGTCCTCCACTTAGCCGATCTTCACCCTCTCTCTCTCTCTCTCTCTCTTCCGTTGGATTTCGTTTTGCACGTACGAGCTCTCGCGTAAAATCCGCGACACGTAGTCCGCGAGTAGCGGACGAGCCCGTAGTCCTTCTTCTCTCCGCCATTTAAATGCTAATGTCAACTTGTTCGAGCGCTTACGAATTCGCGAACGCGTACGACTAAGTTAAAGCAATCGAAAAATTTGTCTCGACGATGTAACGGGAACATGTTCTAACCGATCTCGCGAACGACAGCCGAGTTGCTTCGCGTATTTCTTTTTCTTAACACGATTCCGTGGAAAGGTGGGAGGGGAGGGGGCAGGGACAGGATACAACGAAGAAGTAGGAAGGCAAGTTTTTCCACGTTCGACTCGCGATTCGTCTTACAGAAATGTGCACTTTAGAACGTTGATAAAAAGCGAGTCGTATCCCGAGTCCCTCTCCTTCTATCTCTCGTCGTGTACCATTTGAAACCTACTCCTGTCGTCTTCAAACCTTTTTGCTTCTTTACTTCTGTTCGCGACACTTCTCTCCATTTCGTATCGGATCTTCTGTCTGGATTTCGATGTCGACGTCCAGAGGTACACAGCTTCGTCCCCTGGACTCTTCCATATAAATGGTAATGTTACACATCCGGCTGCTCGATGAAAAATAAAAGAAAGTGAAATCGTATCGGAGGAACAAAGCCACGAGCTATCCGCAAATTTCTAGCCATGACGGTGTCCGTAAAATAACGTAAAGGAGAAACGACTTTCTTTCGAACCTGTTCCCTCCGTTCTGACGGGAGCTGCTGCACCGTTTATATCGTATAAATAATGTAATAACATTTCGAGAACCCTGTCGAACCACAATATTAATGCGTTTCCGTCGTTGAATTGAAAGGTAGACGAATAGGTTCCTCGCCTAGGATCCACCGGGTTATCGAAGAAACTTGTCGGTCCTCTCGTACAGGTGTAAGAGGAGGTCCCTGAGTAGGATTTACTTTTATTCTCCGATATATCTTTATCTCGTACACGCTTCTCCTATCTTCCTATTCAATTCCTATTTTTCCGGAAGTTTTCCCGCCGCACTGATAAAACCCGAGTGGGTTTCGTTATCTCGATCCAACCATTGAGATTGTTTCTTTTTTCGCGAATTTTCTTGTAGAAATTGGTTTCTCCTGTGTAAAAAAACATCGATCGATGTCGTAAGATATATTACTTTATTCGGGCGAACGAAAAAGAGAAAGAAAATTAAAGTGAGTCGAACGATTCACTTTAACGATCATCGTTGCATAATTGGTCTGCGCGGCTATTTGAAGGAACGACGCATCGTTGCAGGGTGCGCAGGAAGGCCGAGTTGACGGTGTGTGTTGTCGCACATTCAAACACGGCCAAGTTTGTCGGGAGACGAAAAGAATTTTCAGCCGACAAGTTTCACCAAGAAATTCTCGTTAAGCACGAACCTAGCTCCGGCTTGGGGAGAATGCGCGGCATTGGTAGGTCCAGTGCCAACCGCATGTTGGATTTCGCGCCAAATGCGGTAGCCAAGGGAATGTACACGCTCGAATGATTCCTTATCGTGGATTCAGAGAGAAGCCAAGAGGGCTGAGAGCTCGAGTGGAACGAAAATTGCGAAGAAGTAGCGCGACGGTGGCGAGGGGAGGGCCAAAAAATTCATCGAATTTCCCTGGGGGATTCGTTGAACCAGTTTAGCAAATGGGCTTCATCTCAATTTTCGGTTCGAAGAATTTCTCTCGCTTAGTGAAACGATTCTGCAAATGAAATTCACTCGGTTAAGATCGAACGGGACTTGTCGAATCCGATCGTTTCTTCCTCTATCTTTCGATTAGCCTTTGGAAACTTCTGAGTCGTGCCCCGTATGATTCTGCCCCCGCCCCCTCCCTACCTGGGTTTTAAGAGAAGACCACTTTGCGGATATACAGGATGAGGAGAAATAAAGGAAAGTTCTTTAATGAAACTATCTTTCTACCAGACTAAGCGAGTGCTCTTAAGCGAGTACGTATCTAGAAGTTACAAGTTCGGTTGGCCAGTTACTCACTTGGAATATCCCAAACGCTGTGCCGAGGTGTTCATTTGTCCGTACGACCGTCGTCACGATCATTACTCTCTCCAGGCTCCCTCTTTCTCTCTTCTTCCGTTCCCTCTCCCCGAGCACGCTATATCTTTCCCTTTGTTCCTCTCCCTGTCTTTCTGTCTGTCCGCTAATCTCTTTACTCTTTTGGCCACAAACGCCGTGTACCAGCCACTTGGAAGCAGCGACAGCAAAGAACCGCGCGGGACAGCGTATCACAGCAACGGTCTATGCGTTGTACATCTTCCGCGTACACGGCACACACAAGCGCGACTGGTCGGTGCACCACAAATCGGAACCAGCAGCAGCATCCGCGTGTAAACGTTACAGACGATATTCAGACGGCTGGGCAACCGCGTTCAGTCGACCTGATTGAGAGACGAGTACCCATGACTTTCACGAATGTCGCCGTCGATCGATTCTCGACCAATGACGATCAATTTCGTGCAACTGTTTCAACGCCATGATCACTGGAATCGCGTCTTTTAAACCGACTCGGAGGTAGTTCCATCTTCTTTAGACAGACGCGAATGAAATCGAGCCGAGCTGGCAATCAGTCGCTGCTGGGTCGCAGGTGATACCAAGTTTCGAAACGGATTCTCGATAATTCCGTTTGTTTATCGAATGTCCTTTATCGCTTCCAGTAGGAATTTGACGACTCGCGAATACAAAGTTTCGATTGATTGGCGTGGAATTGAACCGCAGGCGAGACGTCGGTTTCGAGCGACAAACTACGCGCACGGTGGAAAAGTGAGTGCGTCCCAAAAAGCACGGTACAGGCGCTTTTCGTTGGAAGCACACTGGTGTGCGTCCGCACAGACACGCAACCGCGAACTACGCGCCCTCGACTGGAGGCGCCTGCGGTCCAGGCTGCCACGCAGTATACTGAGCCGTGCCGGCTGCCCGGGAGAATCCGTGGGCGAACGAAGCTCCCCGAAAATTTGCGAAGATCCTCGATTCGATACGCTCTCTTCGGGGTCGTGCACGAGTCGCGAAGAGATGCTGGATTGGAAGAGACGAACCGTCAGGCGACAGTCACTGTTTCCGATACTTCGTTGGATACCACGAAAGCGGACAGACGAAAATATCTCTTTTTCTTCTCTTACCATCTAATAGCGTCGCGCGATTCCATTAAGACGATCGATCAACTTTGTCGGATTAGTCTCTTTACGACGTGGCACATCGATAGCGTGTTGCTTTTACGGTTTGGCCCCATTGTTCCCATCGTGTCTCGGTTTCTTTAGGTCCTAAAGAATTGATACTGACACGGTGTCGCGGAACGTGCTGATTCACTGCTTGCGTTTCCGTAGTTGTCTTCATTTTTCGCGTGACATTCTCGAGCGCAAACTCGCCCGTTCCATTCCATTTCATTCCGTGCTGACAGGTGTTCGCGCTGTCTCATGTGTCCAAAATAATTGTCTTCGTTTGTCACACGACATTCGTAAATATTATCCTCGTATTCTCTGTATGTCATTACAGGTGATCAAACACGAGACAGACCCCGTATTCTTGATCCTCCATGCTGCGTTTGCAAAGCCATGAGTCTCCCGTGATTTAGTCCATACTGATCTCTAGCTTTGCAGTAAGGATTTCACCGTGCCAATCTACCATCTGCATTTCCATGGCTCAGCCGAGAGCCTGAAACGTGGAAAATTAGAGAAGCCGAAGCGACAGCTGGTTACAAGATGAAATTCGGTTTGTTTCCACGTTGAATCGCCGATAGAACGGTTCGTCAATGAATTATTAGACAGCGTGAAACATCACGTTGTCGGAACGCGAATATTTACGACGCATGAATATCACCGACAGCGAAGGTTTTTCTGATGCGTATGTTTAAATATACTGGAAAGTTCCCTTTTTGTTGCGCCGTCGGTGTGGAATTTATATCGGTTCGTCGTCTACGTGCGCAGCCATAAAAGATAACAAATTTCAAAATTGGATTTCATTATAGTATGGTATAACTGATACGCGACAGGTTTTCCCCGCGGACATTTTATTGACGCTAATATCTGCCCGTTGTCCGCGTTCGAATATTCAAATCCGAATTTTTAAATCGAATCAATCTTCGAACTACGATAGCGTTGTCGAGAATATTTAATGAGAAGTATATTGGATCTCACGAAGCAATTAAAAGCATCGAACATTCCTTTGCCGATCGTTGATGAAAATTACACGCTCCACATTCCTACGAATCGTATATCGAAGTAAAAAATCTACCATAACAAATAAAAAAATTTAGGAATTCAGCGTTTTTACTGCAGGGTGTATCGTGGAATTTGCTAGCGCCGGGAACGTTGCTCGCAAACGAGTTTGGAATCTAGACTCCTGTGCATGCTAATGCTTTCGAACGTTATGGTACGTGATTGAATCGCGTGACGACGGTGTAACGGCAAGCAACTACCCTATAACGCGAATCCACAGTATACACAGATCTTTGGTAACGCGGTTCTGGCATGACCCGTTTCGATTTTCCTTTCCCCATTTTCTGTCTCTAGGGTGGCTGGATGAAGCAGAACCTGCCGCCTTTATGGGGTAGCCTCGTAGAGTTAGGGTCAGTAAGTGGGACGTGGGGTATTGATCTTTTTTGTTCTTTTTCGACGTTACTTCGATCTCTCGCTGTCTTCGTCGCTGTACCACGGTCTTTTCGATGGAACTCGAATCGATCGTGAGCGGCTGCGGGGGCAGAGTTCGGTGTCGATGGCGGTCGTGGGGAGGAAATGTCGCTCGGCGGAATACAATCCAGAAATATAGATCAGCGGCGCGCTCAGTCGTATTAGCTCGGCAGTGCTGGCAGAAGGGGATCGATCGAAGAATTGAATGAAATTATTCCGCGATGAGAGCACCCTTGTCGCGTGTCTCCGATCCGCGTTCGTCGCAATCCCGACGCGTTTCGTTCATTGGTTAAGAAATTTTCGATCCGAGCGACGCGACAGGTATTCCAGTCACGTGGTGAACATTCCCGGGCTTGGATCCTAGGCGTTTGCCACGGAGATGAGAATACGATTCTGATTTCGTTGGGATCAAATCGATCTCCGCAGCTGGTGTAATCAAAATTTCTTGATTACACTTTGACAGTTCTATCCTGAATAGAAGGCGGGATTCTTTCAGTCTGGAGACGCTGTAAATCTTATTCCGGCTATTCGTCGAGCAGCCCGAGAGGTGCTCGAGATTTGTACTCGAGAGGTTGGCGGAGGTTAGATGCTCGAAGCTCCTCCTCGCTCTGATTGGATTCCCCGGGGATATTGTAGTTCGTGGGGCAGTCTTTTCTAGCCGGCCGTTGCCGAGTTTCGGCCAACTTGGATGAACAGGGAACTCTAGAACCTCGAAGCTGTTTTGGTTCCCCCAATGGACGAAACGAAACCTTGGCTCCATTGTTCTCAATGTCAAAGCGACTTACAGGGCTCCGTCGTTCTTTCTTTTTCCTCTTCTTTCTTATTTTGTTCTCAACCAAGTCCCCTGTCTTCAACCTCACCTGATAATTACGTCTGCAGACTTTGGCGAAGTTTCTTTCGGGATAAAGGAATCTGATAACGCTATTGCTCTTTATCATAATTAGCTCTCGAGACGGTACTCGTGTCTGGACTGCGCCGAAACTCGTCGACAGAACACTATCGGAAACTTGCATTATTTCGTTTCTCGCCAATTAACTTCGATCCGCCGACTGAACGTGTTCGACTTGCTATCACGGGATCTAAGCGAAACGGAAAACTTCTTTACCACCGAACAAGTTCTTTGAAAGGGGATTTTCGAAAATGAGATTCTTGGACAAGTTATGATCTAGTAACAGCGTCTGACACGAAAACGCTCTTTTCTTTCCAAGAAAACATGACTATAGAAAGTTTCAGGGACCAAAGTCTCAAGTAGGATCCCGCATTAGAAAATCCTCTATCTTAGAGTTTTTTTTTTACTTTGTAGACGTATTTTACTCGTGATGTTCGGAAAATTCATGTTACAAGCAGAGCTGTTCAGTTTGCAACATCGTATCCAATCTTTCCTTTCGATACCTAGCTCATGTTCGACACCGGAACGAAATTCTACTGGCTTCTTTTCCCTCGACGAAAACAACTGACGTTGAAGCTATCTCTTATCGTAGCTAGTTGGCGTGCAACTCCCGAAGGAACTCCGTGACTTACGGGCGGCAAGGTTTACTCTGTCTTGATAGTCCAATGGTGATATACTGGCACATGTTAAGTGCCACGACAATAATTCCCAGAGAATATCCTGAATAATGTGACTAACGAGTTGTCCCGTGTGCAAATGTTAGCATCTGTCACGAACAATTATCGCCACAACATCGATGACACAGAGAATAATATATAAATAGATATATAAACTAAGGGAGAGGAGGAACTTTTTCGAGTTCGAATTAACCTTTCCAACCATGTGAACTCATATTCAACATATTGTTCAGTGGCTATGAAAAATATAATATTTGCACATACCCCTATTTTCCAGTGAAGCGTTTTTCTATCGAGTTCTATATACGTGTTTCATTTGCACAGTATCAGAGTTTAGCAATCATGCGAAAATATTACCAAATAGTACGAAATTTGCTATACTTGAATCTGTTTAATTAAATGTTGCGATAAATACGATGACGTGCTTGAAAATAATTGAGTTCCGTGTTAGAAGAGCAAAGCTTTCAAAAAGTTTTATGGGCTAAAAATGGAAAATTACGAGAATTATGTTTGACATCGCTAAACGATCAACTATTAATAACTCTTTATCTCAAACAAATTTGTTGAAAAATGTACTTCTCCTAGTTCTATCATTCTTCTGGCAAGCTAACAATATTATTTCTCCTCTTGTGCGGATTTAAAAAAGTAGTAATAACAAACTGCCTTTGTATTCCACGCTTAACAAAAGTTTAGTTTATAGGAGTTTTTTCCTTCGTGAGTTTATGATTTATCAGATATAATTTAGCACTCGGATAATTAGCCAACTTTCTGAACGTATAGAACATATAAAAAATTTGCTACTTTCGGCCATCAATGAATACATTTATATTGCGTCTTTTAACTTTAAAACAATTTCAGATACAATTCGTGTATTTCGTATCGAAGATAACGTAATCTACTTGACCTACATCTCATCGTAATAAGTATGCAGCATATGATAAATATGTTATCGCTAGAACGGTTAATTCTCGTTAATCTCGTAAATACATCGATATCCATACGCAGTGGAACCTCTATGACCTCGCAATTTTTACAATCCGATGTTCCTCAAGACTTTTTTCTACGTCGTTTCTAAGCTAAAACAAAATCTGCATAACTCTGAAAAATTTTCCTTGGTTTTCATTCAAAGTGCCGAGGTTCCTCTGTAATTTCTTCTCCCTGTCGATTAAATTTCGCTAGAAGAGGCTTAAGTAGACTCCAAAATCACGTGTTTACCGCGTCATTCGCGTAATCGAACATATTTGAATCGCCGATGCTGGCCGAATTAGCCCGAGCGGTCACGAGCGTAAGCGCAATCGATTCCGAGAGAAAGGTTCCCTTGCTACATCGCACACACTGGCCTTCTCCATTTCCCTTTTCAGAGCCTTGGAATCGTCCGCCAGGGCTGCTACCTCCAAGTACGCAACGCTTTGAAGGGGCTTTTTTCAATGAATGGACATTCATGAAACTCTCGTTTCAGCTAACCATCCTCTCGTCTGCCGTGGTTTTCCGTCTTTTTCTTGTTTCCCTCGAGTGCAACACCTCTGGAGCGCGTGTATGTATCGCTACGAGACTCTAGCGTGTTTGTATATACGTGTCCTATTCCTTTGCTCTGAGCAAACTTGTTGAGCTGACGACGGTTCATCAGAGCCTGTAGGTGGCGGATGGGCCCGTTACCGATCTTTTGTTACAGGTTTCTCTTGTTTGCTATAGGATTAGCTGACTCTCGTTCCTCACGG